AGTGTGTGGGTGGGTGGGGGGGGTTTGAGGATGAGCCATCTATATCCCAATTGAAGAGCCCTCCCTCAACAGAGGGGGAAGGATATGACATCACCTATCTCCAGTCTACAAGTCCTTTCAGCAGTTCCAAGAGCCTCCATACCTATTTGCACCCACTCAGGTGATCCCGAGGACACAAATAAACTTCCAAGAGGACTCTCTCAAAGGATGCAAATGCCCAGCTGACTGCAAGGAATATAAATCCTTCCATTCCCCACCCTCCAGTCAAGAGTTGAAGAAGCTTCTTGGAGGAGAAATGAAACACCTTCAAAAGAAAAATCAGGAAGCCCTCTTGAAATAAGCCCCTTGGGGATAACCATGAGCTGGATGATTTGAGAATCTCCACAGATATTGTGGTGGTAATGTTTTAGAATGACTTTTTAAATGTTTTTCTAATAGTGAATGGGGAGTTGCCCAGTTAGTTGAAAGAGAGGAAGCTGTTTTAATGTTTTAAATAATATAAAATAAGAAAAGATGGGCAGTTTCCTAAGTCACCCATAACTCCCATTTAGGCTGATGGCTTCCTTCCTTTCCTTCAGAGAGTGGGAAGAGTTACTTATTTTGGAGAGATTATGACTCTACAAACATTTAATTCCCCCCCCACAACCATAAATCAAATACTTTAGAAGCCCCGTGCAATCAAAATCAAGAGGATATTTATAGCTCAAGGCTGGGACTGTGGGGTTCTTGGGTGATCTCTGAGCTTGGTGCTTTTCTTGCAGACGTTTCACAACCCAACTAGATAACAATATCAGTGCTAAAAGGGAAGGGAGTTTGTGGAGTGCGGGAGGAGAGGAAGAAGCACTGTTGAGGTCTTTGCTGGTCTCTGAGCTTGGTGCTTTTCTTGCAGACGTTTCACAACCCAACTAGATAACAATATCAGTGCTAAAAGGGAAGGGAGTTTGTGGAGTGCGGGAGGAGAGGAAGAAGCACTGTTGAGGTCTTTGCTGGTCTCTGAGCTTGGTGCTTTTCTTGCAGACGTTTCATGACCCAACTAGGTAACATCATCAGCGCTAAAACCAATTTTTGTGTTGTTTTATTACGTCAACAAGAAAACAACCCAGTTCGGAGAGCACCAAGGATCCCGCAATCAAGTTTTAAGACGAGACAAAGAAGAGTGGGGATTTCCTTGGGGGCCAGAGAAAAATCGGAAGGACCCTCATTCCTTACCGAAGAGACACCGGCAGAGTTCCCCCATGGGCTTGAAGCAGTAACACTTGCAACTCTTGGACCTGAAAACCAGAACAGAGGGCAAAGGGCCTGGATTTTAGAATATGACAAGACTTTATCGAAACGTAAGGTTAAGGAGCTTGTCCCAGTCAACAAGAAGACTTCTCGGTCTTTTAACGCCCACCTCGCGGGCCAGGGTGTGTCCATCTCACCTGCAGCCTCAACCGGTTGATCTCGGCCGCTTGAGGGTCAATATTCACAATCGGCTTGTTCTTTATTTTTCGAGCCCGATCTGCATAGCGAAGGGTGTTCAATGTCTCTTCAAGGTTGGAGTCGGCCGGGCTCACGCAGGCAATCATCAGGGTGTGGCTGTTGCCCCCCAAGGAATCTGAAACGGAAGCAGGCTTTGAAAAAACAGCCTCGGCTGCGTTATCGAGACGAGGAGCAGCGACAAAACCTGGTGGTCTCCTCTCCCTCCTCAGAGCGGCTCTGCTTCCATCAAAACTCAAGAAAAAAGACCTTCAATTCCATTGGATTAGAGAAGAGGTACTGGTACCAAGTTTGGGAGCAGCGAAAGCAAGGCAAGATCTGATTCAAAACATACAAATGTTCCACATTGAAAGCCACCCCAAATTAACATCCAGTACGACGTTATGGGAAATCTGCTCTGCAGGTATTTCTCGCATCTGCAATCTCAGGACGCTTGGCCTTGACGGAGTATAAACAACTCCTCTCTGCGGCGCCGTAATTCATGAGTGCAAACTTCCCTCCCAGTTCTCATGGGGCTACTACACACAGCTCGCTTCCCCATTCCAAATGCCCATGCCCCCCACATCCCCGTTTCTAGGGCAGCCGAGAGCAAGCACGCCACAGAAACCCATGCTGGAGATCCAGCTGACACCGTCATTCTCACCTTGCAGAAGTCTGGTTAACTTCGAGTCGCGATAAGGGACAAAGCTGCCTTTCTTGGATTCGTCCCCCAGGGCGCTGATGACATTTCCCAGGCAAAGCAGCCCTTTGTTGATGTTAATTCCTGCAAGAGACGGTTAAGGAAGCAACTGACACGGCTCATCTGACACAATCTTTCTGCATCCCTGAGTAACAGGGATGTAGGATCAACCCTCATTGTGCAAAATACAGGCAGCCCTTGAATTATGATTGTAACTGAGCCTGGAAGAGGCGACGGTTGTAAAGTGAGTCACTATGTAACCAGACCTGTTCTTTTTTTTAAAAAAAAAACATTTTTCAAGTGGTCATTAAGCGAGTCGTTAAGCGAACCGATGGTTCATTACGGGTGTTTATAACTAGAATTGGAAGAGAACATCAATTTCGGGTGAAATTGTGGTCATATGATTGTGGGAGGTTGCAAACAGACTTTGACAAACTCTCAAGTGTGTTCATGCAACTGTGTGTGTGTTGTAACTTTGAAACGGGTTCCCTCAACTTATGACAAAATTTTCATTGCTAAGCAAGGCAGCTGTTAAACAAGCTTTGCCCCGATTTACAACCTTTCTTGCCATGGTCGTTAAACAAATCACTGCAATTGTTAAGTGAGCCACCTGGTCGGCTTCCCTGCGGATTTTGCTTGTCTGAATCCCCCCAGTATCCTGGGATACCGCAACCGTCATAAATGCGAACCACTTGGCAAGAGCCCGAATTTTGATCCCGTAACCATGGGAACGCTGGGACGATTGTCGGTGTGAAAACGGTCATAAGTCACTTTTTTCAGTGCTGGTCGTAACTTTCAACGTTCACTAAAGAAATGGCTATAAGTCAAGGGCTACCTATAATAAATAGATCTCGGGAGGTCGGTTGTAACTTCACATGGTCACTAAGAAATCAGTCCTAAGTCAAGGACTATCTGTAAACAAGCTAGTTTAGCTACTGGTATTTCCTTTTTAGTAACACAAAGGAAAATAAATAAATATATTATAAATAAATAAATATATATAAATAAATAAATCTACATCTACAATCTACAAAAATTAAGGGCCATTTCTCGGGGTTTCCAACAGCTAACAGTTCCATTCCACCAAAGAAGTTTGCCTTGATTTGGTCCCAAAGATGCTTTTTTCAAAAGGCAACTGGATTTCCTAGTTTTTCTTTGAAGACATTTCTCATCCAAGAAGCTTCTTTAGCTCTGAATGGATGGAGGGGAATGGAAGAATTTGGCTTCCTAAAAGGATGCAAAGGATCAGCTGTCTGCAAGGAGTAAAAATCCTTTCCCACCGCCCAGTCAGAGCTGAAGAAGCTTCTTGGAGAAGCGAAAAGCCTTAAAAACAAACAAAAAAACAGAAAGTCCAGTTGCCTTTGGAAAAAAAAGCACCTTTGGGACAACCATGACCTGGATGACTGAAAATCTCATGATTTAGTAAATTTCCCCCTTTTTTTACCTTCTCGCAACCGTTCTCCTTCCGCTTTCGTCTTCTTCTGCCTTTCCGAACCAGCCAGGTCCACCAGGTGCAATTTTGAAAGAAAGCTAACATTCCTAAACCGGAAACAGTCTGTTAACTCAGAAGGCTGGGATTTGAGAAAATGCTTTAATGTGGAATATTTAAAACACTTCACTGGATCTCCCATAGCTTAATTAAATTAAGCTATGGGAGATCCAGTGGCTACCAATTGGTCTCCGGACGCAATTCAAGGTGTTGGTTATTACCTTTAAAGCCCTACATGGCTTAGGGCTAGCGTACCTGCGAGACCGCCTACTGCCAGATACCTCCCAACGGCCGGTAAGATCCCACAGATTGGGCCTCCTTCAGATGTCATCAGCCAGACAGTGTCGGCTGGCGGGTACCCGGAGGAGAGCCTTCTTTGTGGCTGCTCCGACCCTTTGGAATCAGCTACCCTCAGAGATCTGGCCCTTACCCACTCTCATGGCCTTCAGGAAAGCTGTTACAACCTGACTGTTCTGGCATGCCTAGGGCTGTTGACCTCATTGTTAAGGTCCAGCTCCAATTAGAACGAATGCGTGTCTTGTGAATTTTTAAACTATCTTTTTTTAAATTTTTTCTTTGTAAGCCGCCCGGAGTCCTTCGGGATTGGGCGGCATATAAATTTTAACAATAAATAAATAAATAATAATAATAATAATAAATAAATAAATAAATAAATAAATAAATAACTTAATAAATTAATAAATTAATAAATTAATAAATTAATAAATTAATAAATTAATAAATT